AAGAAAGGAGTAGGCGCTGACCTTCAAGGGGGGGGGGAAGTTATATTCAAATACAACAGTTTTCTCTTTGTGAAATTCAAATATAACGCATATGCGTTTTATTCGAATAAAACGCATATCCGTTATATTCAAAGTGCCCTTGTATTCGAAGAAAACGGTCTAACTTTCCAAAAACCAATTTTTTTAGAAAACTTGAATACAATGCATATGCGTTATATTCGAGGGAAGATGATAGTACTCATCTATCTCATCTTCTTGCTAGTACGGGGGAACACCAACCAACCCGGATCTCTCCCCAACCCACGAGGTAGGTTGGCACCACAGTTGTGGTGCAAGAGCAAGGCTGTACCAGTCCCTCATCACAGTGACGGGGGGTGGGCAGGCATTGCCAATGGGGAAAATCAGTGGTGCTAGCGTCGAGCAATGGCCAATCACTGCACCTCTCCCTATACCCCCCCCAACCTCACATGGGGGTGTTTGATGGCCAATATTGTCGATGCATAGCAGCCAACAACATTAGGCAAGGTCCTGCCAATGCTGGCTTGGGGGCCCGACGGGTTATCTCTAGCTGGTAGAACACCAAGCTTGCCCAGGCACATAAGCGAGGTCAATGGGGATTGAACCCATGACCTTCTAAATGCAACTTTTATGACTTATCAACTAAGCTAGGCCCGCAGGCCTTTTTCACATTTGGCGAGGGGTCTGTTGAACCCAACCAGCTCCGGCAACATGCACTTGTCTGGTTGAGATGCGACATCGCATTCATTTACGAAATGCACTACGTAGTAAGGAGGATTGGATTTAAACCACAACTACATCCGAGCCTGTTTTTCCCGATCTTGGTTTTCACTGAGCACGAGTTTTGTCGAGCCTGGGTTCCATTTTATTTTTCTTATGATACTTTCATGAAAAACAAAAAAGAAAAACAACCCACTCGTAGCCTAAAATAAATAAAAAAAAAACATACAAACACCCCTTTGGACATGATACCTAGTCGATACCTAGTCCAACGTCATTATGCGAGTATGCCCTCAGTGAGGGCGTTACGACAAGGGTGTCAGTTCCACCAAAGAAGGAAGAGGGGGGGGGGAAATAAAACTGAACTTAGGACGGGAAAGCGGTTTCACACATTCTGCAAAGTAAAAGTGTGGGTGTGCCCTCCTCCACAAAGTGTTAGCAACCCGTGGACTATGTCGTGCCTCCCTGGTGAGGCACAAAAAAAAAAAAAAAAAAAACTAAAATAAAAAACACAAACAGTGAAAACTTAAAACTGACCACTATAGCGGTTC